GTAGTTCTCTCTCTCTCTCTCTCTCTCTCTCTCTCTCTCTCTCTCTCTCTCTCAACTTCATTTTTAAGATTGCCCAAGTTTGTTAATGCTATAAATTGACGTATTTTGTTTGTTATTATGAGGTAGGATGGATCAATATGGTTATTCACACCACAGAAGTTTGATGGTCCTCAGCCTCACACAGTTCAAGCCAACTGTGAAGGATTTGCTGATGGTATGGTATATAGACTTCAGATGGGGGGTGCTGATTTGGCGTATTCAGAAAATATCAAATCTTTGTTGTCCTTTTCATTTTAAAATTTTGTATGACTATGGTTTTGTTCAGGTGTTGAGGTGGGTGATGAACTTGTTATTGATGGTGGGATGGCAAGCTTTGAAGTTATTGAGAAGGTGGGCAACAATTTGAGATGCAAGTGTATTGATCCAGGTTTACTTCTACCTCGGGCTAAATTGACTTTTTGGAGAGATGGGAAGCGTGTTGGGAAGAATTTCGAACTACCAACATTGTCAGCAAAGGTTAGATCTCTTTATGTGCAGCATTGTGTTTTTGATGTTGTCTGAGCCTGTGTAGTTTGTCTAAATTTATCTCGTTCTCTCTCAAGTTTTGTTTGTTTGGTTTAAGATCCTGATTGTGATCTGCAATTGTTCTGGAGATCTTAAGTCTGTTATGTTGTTGTGCTTAGTTGAAGCATCTCCATGTACATTTATTTTTCTTCCTCTAAAAAATAAACTAGTACTTTTTCTCTATCTCTTCCCTATATAGTCTTTTAAGTTGGATTCTATATATTTGTTGTCTGTTTTTATTGGTAGAATGTCATTTTAAAACTATGCTGTTGGTAGTTTGCACATGTTTTCTAAGATTGCTGTACTTAATTGTCTTGGCTTCAGAAATGACATATGCAAATGGTTGGCCTATGTTTCCACTTCCAGTTATCCTTTGGTGGTTGGTCAAGCTGCTTTTAGGGTTCAACATGTGAAGTGCTTTGGGTAGTTAGAAACTCTTATCTTATCGCATTTATGTTTTGAGTGTTGATGATTTATTGATGTATCATTTTCCTTATTTTGTTGTGGCTGCTTGGATCAGTTATTAAGTCTGCACAGGGAAGTCTTATGTAATTTTTGACTGGTTGCTTGAAGATTTGTTTGCATTCTTGATCAAAGGGAACCTTTTCAGTTGTGGCAAACCTAATGTATTTGTAAAGTTATGGATATAGTATTGATTCTCTATCCTATACCAATGAATGCCAGAATGTCTGGTTAGCAAAAATAATCATCTCATTTGTCTACATTTGTTCTGCTCTTTCTCTTTTTGGTCATGCTTCATTGCAGTGTGTAGTTTTCTAATTCCATGTTTGTTTTAGTCAATTTTGTGTGCTTTTCTTCATTTTTCCTTTTTCTCACTGTCTATTCATCGTTTGGTTTGCTAGGATTGGGCTGATATTGACTTTGGAATATCTGAAGGAGTTGATTTTATAGCTGTGTCTTTTGTAAGGGCAGCTGATGATATCAGGAATCTTAAGGATTACCTTGCTACAAGATCATCTGAGTAAGAAAATACACATGCCGCCTCTGTAGAGCATCCTGATATCTCTAGTTCCATTAGATCAAGTTTCCTTATCCATCATGTTTATCATTTAATCTGAAGTTATTGTTTGTAATTTACTTTTCACGTGGATATTTCTTCTTGGGCAACTTAACAATTCGTGGTGTGTTTACTTGCTCATTGAACTCTTGTGGATGAAATCTGTTGCAGTTAGAAATAAAGATGATGTGGTTCTTTTAGCTGCCATTTTATTATTATATATTCTTTTTATTGGTAAGAAAAATCTACACCCACACACTTCTTACATATATGTAATATATATGTATAATCCATCAACAGAGGCAATTGCTCTAGTTATATTGGCATTCTGTTTTGACTTCGTGTTGCCCCATAACTTGTCCATGCTAGTGCTACTTCCATTGGTAATGTTTGTAGTTCCGAAAGAATCCCAAGATTTGATCATAGGAAGAACTTACAAATTAGAATAAGAAATCAAATAAAATTTGGTTAATAGAGATATGAAGGTAAAAAGTGTGACTGAGCGTTCATGTAGACATGCGCCAAGTTACTCTCATACAGAAGCACACTTGTACATTTGTATGTATGAATTGCATAGCACTTTTTCTAATATTTTTATTGTATGGGAGATTGATATGATTCTAGATACTTTCTGAACACTTTATTACCCTGCATTAGTTACAGAACTTTTGGATAGTAGATATTTATTCATTTGTTTATGCTGATTCTCTTTGATTAAATTCATATATCTTGAAATATTACACTGGACATGATATTGCAGGTCCATCAAAGTTCTGGCGAAGATTGAGAGTTTCGAATCACTTGAGAACTTAGAAGAAATCATAGAGGCTTCCAATGGAATCATGGTGGCCCGAGGAGATCTTGGAGTGGAAATTCCTCTTGAACAGATTCCAGCTATCCAAGAGAAAATAACTAGTTTGTGTAGACAGCTCAACAAGCCTGTGATCATTGCGTCTCAACTTCTCGAATCTATGATTGAATATCCAACTCCTACACGTGCTGAGGTATAGCTAGTAATAAATCTGTTTCTAATTTTAATGCGAAGTTAACAAAAAAAAAAATGGTTTGAATTGGAGAAACAAAGAACAATGTCAAATGTGCGCGCTGATCGTTTTCCCGAGTCGGATGTACATTGGCTCATTAAACCACTTTGATTTTTTATGCTCCTCTTCAGGGTCAAGGTCTGAGAATTGACAAATTGAGTCAGATTTATTAAGGCAAGGAACCTAAGTGCTTTGACTTATGATGTTTTCTTTTGAATTTATCCATAACTTTAAACATGGATTGGCTTACGTAGTGTTTGTGCAATTGAGTAGATGAGAATTTTAAGTTGATTTGGGCAGGTTTAGTTTGATAGAATTAGAAACCATGCATTCTTTCCATTTCTTAAATGATCTAGTGCAAAATTATTATCAATTGGACCATAGTAGATGATCATCATCATCATCATAGCTTTTTCCCAATTAATTGGGGTCGGCTACACAAATCCTAGTCCGCTATTCTGCTCTATTAAAAACCTACCCTCAATGAGGCCATAAGTCCCCATATCCCCTTGCTCTTTTCAATCCTTACTTGGACTAACTCTCACCTCCTAACAGGTGATGTACTTAGTCGGTGCCACACATGACCAGGCTACCTAAGTTTACTCTCTCTCATCTTATCGCCTATTGGTGCCACACCTAAATTCTCCCGACTGGATTCATTTCGAATGATATCCCTTCTGTCTTATCACTCATCCAATTGGACCATAGTAGATATATCAACTCAATTGGGATTGCTCTTGTAATATCTAGTTAGCCATATGTACATAATGGACAGACCATTGTCAAGAGTTAATTTGTATTTTATTCTTGCTTCTTAATTGTTATTTGCCAATGTAATGAAGGAAATCATATTGTACGTATTTTTTGCATCAATGGTATTTTCATAAATTCAATATCCTAAGGGCATGTCTATAAATTCATGTGTACGCTATGTGTCTGTGGGTTTGTCTAAGAGCGAAAGATTACACTAGCCGAAGGACTTATACTGTAACACATGCTATTTTGAGCTAGAGAGGGTTGTTCTACCCATGTTCACAACACATGTAGATCTCATCGAGGCAAATTAAAAATAAATAAATAAATAAATTAGGATAAACAAGGGGGAAATGAGTTTGTCATGTTAGGTTAACACGGGCCATCTATTTGGTGGATGGTGAACCTTGGCCATCAAGATCTCAAAGTTGGTCTCCTTTTTTTTTTTTTAATTGGTTATTTTTTTGAATGAAGGATGTTGTGCAAAATTTCAGCCCAAAAAACTTCTCCTTTCTATGTGTTTTGGCCAATGGGTATACCTATCTACCAATGTATCTATCTATCTACTTTGCTATCTATATATATATATATATAGAAAGGCTAACGTGAG